CTGCCTTGGATTTCCAGAGGGCTGACTTTGAACTCTTCAGGTCACAAGTAGGGAAAATCCCTTGGGATTCAGTCCTGAAGGGGCTGTGCCACAAGACGAGCCATGGTGAAGGAGACCAGTGTGGATGAACAGGGAACTCTGACTGAGACTCTGGGAGAAAAAGAGTGTCTACCTCCTGTGAAAGAAAGGATGGTCAACTCAGGGAGGATCCAGATGGGATCCACCCAAAGGTGCTGAGGGAGCTGGCAGAGGTCATAGCCAAGCCACTTTCCACCGTCTTTCCAAGTCCCTGGCCAACTAGACAGGTCCCGGAGTTTTGGAGGCTTGCCCATGTGACTCCTATCTACAAGAAAGGTCATAAGGATGATCAGGGGAACCAGGCCTATCAGTCTGGCCTTGGTGCCCGGGAAGGTTATGGAGCAGATCATCTGGCATATGCAAGACAACCAGGGGTCAGGCCCTGCCAGCATGGGTTCATGAAAGGCAGGTTCTGTTTGACCAACCTTATCTCCTTCTATGATCAGGTGATCAGCTTAGAGGATAAGGGAAATGCTGTTGGCATAGTCTACCTAGACTTCAGCAAAGCCTTTTCTGTGTGTCCCAGGGTATTCTGCTGGAGAAGCATTGTGCTAGGTGTCAGATCTCTATTTGAGTAAGAGAAATCTTATGTGCCTTTTCATCCTTTACATTGGCAGAGAAATTTTAAGACACCTATTTCTCTGGGCAGGATTTTTACAATTAAGAAAAAATAACTAAAAAAATCCAGGTTTCCTGGGTATTAGAATAGTGATCTCAGCTGGCATCATAGAAAATACACAGCACTCTCTGTGGCCTTGGTGTGATTTGAAACCATCATCTAGAGCATACGCAGTGCGATCTCCTTAAAAGCACAGTAGCTCTGATCCTGCCAGACACAATTCAACAGCCAAAATGATTTTTGATCTGAACCAAAATAGTCATCCTTACATTCTTAAAAGGAAGCAATAGAAGAGGATGAAAATGTGGAAGCCTCTTCAGCACTGCCTGTGTTGGTGCCTGCTGCCAAGCCTTATTCAGTTTGGAGTGAAACATTCAGCTTTATTCTAACTATTAGCTGTCCTGGCCTGCTGATCTTTGCGAAGGTTCTACTTCTTTCACAGATTGCATTTTAGCTTGTTTCAATACTTTTTTTTTTTTTTTTAAATTTAATAAATGTTATGCTATAGTTAACAGCTGTGCATTTCAGGCAAGTACAGCAGGCATTTTTGAACTACATCTTTGAATAGGTCTGTCTGGTAAAGAAAATACCCATGAAATAATGAGGCAGTGCAGGAGTACTGCATTCTTACCATCAAAGGGGTCTGCACATACTTTTCCATGTGGTGTACATACTGCACAGGAAACAATTTATGATATGGCAGCATACTTGCGTTGTTCTCAGTTCTTGCAGTGAGTGAGAAGAAGAATGGATTCTCTAAATAAAAAGCAGAATGGTAAATTTGTGCTGGTAATTTTTCTACTTAGTTCATAACCTCATAGGATGAGAAAATTTTCAAATTGACAAACTATTTTCTATCAGTGATTTTAGTCTTGGTATGATTGTGAATATTTCATGCATTTATATTTCTTTTCTTTTGAGGCAGATTAAGGTGGTTGTTTTTTTTTTTTTTTTTTTTTTTTTTTTTTTTTTCTTTTAATGAAAATTGGTTTCTGGTTTGGGCTTGCTTCATTGAGTTAACCAGGTTCCTTACTTAGGCTTCCAGGAAATCAGATGAGTTCCTTGGGCACTTCACTAAAACATGTGCCTTGGAAAACTGGGCTTCTATAGATAAAATAAGGGTTTAAAGACTGGATTACATGTTTTCTTGGAATGGCTAAGAAATTCATACAGTAAGGTTTCTTGTCTGGCAGCTGAACTGGCAAGAGAAGACTGTGCCCATCAAGTCTCACTGGTGGCAAGTCCAGCGTTGGAGATGAGCTTATTTTAAACTAGCTTAGTCCAGCTTCCATTTAAATCACTGGCAAAACTCCAGCTATTTTTAACAAGAGAAGAGCTGAGGCAACAGACATACAAAGCCTGATTCCAGACTTGATCCCAGCTTTTCTTATACATCCATGGCTCATACTGAGTATTGCGGTCACTTTAGTAGGATTAAGAGCAAGCAGACTGCTTGGGCAGATTTATATTGCAATTCTTTGTAAGAAGTACCGATGTATAACCAAGATGTTATAATTTTGTATAACCAAGATGTTATAATTACAATATAATCAAGAGAGTAAGGCAAACAGACAATGATCACAAAAGAGAATAAGTGGAAGAGCTTACCCTTGGGTTGAGCTCACCAGAAGATACCAAAAGAGGGGATCTCCAGAAGAGATCCTTCCCCTCTGGTAGCCAGCTCTTAAATAGGTCCAGGAGGGGTGGAGCCAGGCTCCACCCCTTCCGGCAGCACAGGTGAATTGCCTTCACCTGTGCTCCTCTGGCTGACTCAAGGCTCACCTCAGCTGATTAATCAGAGGTTCAGGCCGTGACTCAGCAGTTCCCATACACCGATATTGTCCTTAATAAGTAATAAGTTGTCAAGGTAAACTGTCACAGTTCCAAGCCAATTGATGAAGTATAATAATGTCATGTACAATTGGATAAGTACCTCTTCTGTTGTTTCTAGTCATTTTACAGAAATGTATATCCTGAATTAAAAAAAAAAAATGTGCAGGGATTTATATGTTTTTTCCAAAGGGGGAGCTGGGGGGGGGGCGGGGAGGGGAGGGTCAGGCTCCGCCCTGAGAAATGCACCAGGCTATCTCTGATTTATGCCTTTCAGTATAGTTACTACAAAACCACTAGGAACATACATGTTTCCTTAGGTACCGCAGTAGCTACTATTATATATATAGACAATCCAGTTCCCTGACACTAAATTTGCTGTTGTGTTTGTTATATGTATAATTCAGGCCTCACAGCAGTATTTTGAGGAGAGAAGGGGAATAGGAGGTAACATGTGAGACCCAGTTGAGAAAATATACATAAGCAAAAAGACTTAAAGTAGCCCAAAAACAGATGGGTGAGGAGAAGAGCATCCACCATATAAAGATGAGGTGACAAAATAAGGACCCACCTATGAAAAGGATTAGCCATTTGTGATATGAACTTGCCACTCTCTGAAAACAGTGGGAAAACTTCCACTGAATTAAACGCCTCAGTCCTTTGCACAGGACTGGTTAGATGCTATTCAGAGAATAATGTATATATGCCAAATAGTGCTGTTTTCATCAGGTGAATTACTTGCCAAATCCATCATCCCGCTGTTTCTTTTCTGTCAGAACTCCTGCTGAAGTCAATGGGAGTGTTGTCTGCATAACATCTTTAGGATGGGGCACAAGGTTAAACGAAATGCATGTGTGGCCGCCCAGGGTCCATCCAACCTGGCCTTGCGTATCTCCACGGATGGGGCACCACGGCTCTCTGGGCAGCCTGTGGTTTACAAGTTCAAATGTTCTAAATCAAACTGGGTTTTGTTTTAAAAAAAAAAAAAAAAAAAAAAAAAAAAAGAATTAAAGAGATTAAAATAATTAATCTCTTGCTATGAACTTGGTACGAACAAAGATAGAACCAGCAAAGTGCTTAAAAGATTTGCATTTCTAGCTATTAAAATACAACTCAGACAACTATTGACAACAGTGAGAAACAGCTTCTCAGTACTTCTTATGGGAAAGTGTAATGGTTAAATTAGCTGAGGTGGACTGTCCTGTTGCTCCAGGAACACATTAGAAGCATGTTAAGGGTCACAAGGATCCTTCAAGAAATAAGATAACAATAACAGGAGCTCATACCATGCTTGCGTGCCTGAAAGATTCTCTTTGTGAGAAATGCCTTGGGATTTGTGTCTCTGGAAATGGTTGTTTCTGTGAGGTGGAAAATAGCTGCTGAGAACACTGCATGCTGAAGGGCACTAAGAGCACTCAATGGTTAAGGATGCCAGGGTGGACAATGGGATGCAGAAGTGTTCTGACAGCACCCCGGTTCTCGTGGGAGTCTCAGCCCAGGAGGCAGCAGAGGGCACTGAGGAGAGCCCCGGGCCGAGGTGGGGGACTGTGGGTCTCTCGAGCTGCTGCCGGCGGCCGGCCATCTCCCGTGGTCTGTGCTCCTGCAGGTTGTGCTGCGCCGCGGGTACAGCAGCAGTCTGAGTCCCAGCAGCAGCTCAGCAACCAGACTACGTCCTGAAAGGACTGTACTTTTTTTTTTCCTTCCTTCCTTCCTTCCTTCCTTCCTTCCTTCCTTCCTTCCTTCCTTTCTTTCAAGTTAGAGAACAGGAAAACGACTCAGAGCTTAGTTGCTAAGTTTTATACATGAAACGTATGGATAGGAGTGTGCCTCTAGGATACTTCTTGATTGCTGTTGATGGGTTTTCTGGACTGATTTCAGAGTTCAGGGCCACTTGGAATAGCCAGCGCGTTCCATGTGCCCCCAAAGTAGGATCTAACAGCTGTGCATTTTTTTTAATACAAGCCAACAGTTTGTGCGTGCAGTCAGTACGCGGGGACATATGTTTGCTGGGGCAAGGTTTTCTCCGTGTCCCGCGGTACGGGGCCTGGAGCTGCTGCTCGCCTCGTGAGGATTCTCTCGTGCCCTCCGAGTCATTCAGCCGGGATTCCGGGAGCGACACGGCACGTCCTTCCTCGCGCTGGGACCCGCTCACCTCCTCCCCCGGACTGCCGCCTGCATCCCACGAGGGAGTGTTTCCCGTAGGGACGGGCCGCTGTAGCCACGCGGCTCTGCCGGCACCCGCTGCCAGGCGCGGAGCTCGGAGGCCGCAGAGCGCTCTGCGAAAACTTCAGCGCCGGAGCTGCCGAGACCGGCCGCGCTCGCGGAGCAGCAGGGCGGGCGCCAGGGCGGGGCGGCGGCGCCGGGCGGGAGGCGGCCTGGGCCGGGGGACTCGCGGCCACCCCCACCATCCCCCCCGCCCTCAGACGGCCCGTGCCCCGCAGCGCTGCGGCCCGGCCCGGCCGCTGGGTGCGAGATGGCCGCCGGTAGGAGCCGCGGGCTGCTGTGGCTGTGGCTGCTGGCGGCTGCGGCGAGGTTGACGGCGGGCAGGGCTCCCAGCTGCCACGAAGTTCGGACGGCGTTCCAGCTGCGGCAGATCGGGCCCCTCAAGCTGGTCCCCGACGTGCCCACGGCCGGTCAGTACCGCCCGCACCCTGGGGCCGCCGTTCGGAGGCTGCGGGCGGCGCGCATCTTCCCGGGGTCGCATTCGGGTCCCGCTTCGGAGCGCTGCCGCCTTTGGCCCGAGGGAGGCAGCCCGGGGCTGGCGGGGCTCGGTGCACCGCTCGGTACGCGTTTCTATACAATTCCCGGGGAGGCAGAGAGAGAGAGCGAGAGAGCTGCGAAACGTCTGGGTGTTTGCAGCCTGCAGGTATTTCTTGCTGACCGTCACTGGAAGCACCGGACTTTTTCTTTCCCTTCCCCATTGGCCCCCCTCCGCTTCTTTAGGGCTACTGCGATCCTTTTGCTGAGTTCTTCACGTAGAATCCTTACAGGAATTATCTCTTAGAAGGCAAATTTGTAGCTGAGTTATTAAGGAGTACTTGTTTTCTGGCCAGGTGTAGAGGTCCTGGGGAATGTATCGTAATTTCTGAATTTGGGAGTTTTCTTGCTTGTAAATTCAGAAAGTCAGTGAGAAAGGCGGGAGTAACGCTTTGGAGGGGTGTAATCAGCAGAACTCGGTTTTGCTCTGTTGAGCAGCAAGTCCACAGCGCTTAGTGATCGTGAAAATTGATGAGTAGTGCGATGTTCTTTTTTTTATATATAGTAGAAAAGTTGTACATAGTAAAAGGTTTGTTTTGTAAGTTCTCTCTTGAATTCATTGTAAGGGAGCGATGTGCTTCACTGAGTCAGATGATGTAAATCTTATGAAAGACCATAGATCTATCTGGATAATGAAGTCATTTTCCTGCTTTCCTCATGTTTTAAGAAAAATATTTGCAAGACTGGAACACAAAAGAAAAGGCTGCCAGTCTCTTACAGAACAGTCTGTAACTGCCTCTGGCTAGCACGCTGCCCGTGTGCGTTTGCCGGGATACCTGTCAGTATGAGTTGTTAACTTTGTTTCTTTTCAGATCTTTTTAGAGCACTTCAAGCTTGCAGAGGCTGATGAAAAGAATTCTTCATTGAAATTAGTTTTGGATGTGTTTTCTGCATTGGTTTCCGTTTTAGGGGTAGGTTTGATAGACTGTTGGTCTGAGCAAAGGCAGCTCCTGTGGCCATAAGCAATTGCGCAGTGCTGGTGATCTTCACCTTCTCTTTGCATAAAGCAGTGCAGATTGCGTGCAGCTGGAAAGTTGTCTATGACTAAGGAGACCTTGGTTTGTGGCAAGAGGATATGAGCAGGAATGGCATTCTGAGGCTTGAATCTTGCTACTGTTCTCTTGTGCTGATGGAGAAATCAGATTGCTTTTGGAGAGCTACGTGTGAAAGCTGGTTAAAAAAAAAAAAAAAAGAAAAGAAAAAGAAAAAAAGAAAAAGAAAAGAGGTAAAACAAAGCTTCTCATCTACTATGTTGCACTCTTTCCTGAGCTCTTCCTGGAAGAAGTTCTAAAAGGTTTTATAGAATATATAAAAGACTGTAATCAAACTCTAGTAATGGGAATGAAGTGTGGGGAAAACCATGCTCTGCTCTGGAGGAAAGATGCCTCAGAGATGGCTTCATTGCATTCCTTGTGTCATACTGAATTTTCTTGTCGAATAACAAGCTCTCAGAAGATAAATGGCAGGAGAGAAAGTGAGGGAGAGCAATATCCTTGTAAATTTTAGCTTTCACAAAGAGGAAGACGATTTTTGGAGCAGAACAGAGCTAAGGAAATGCAGTGTGTGTTGATCTTCCCTGTTTGTAAGGTGTATTTAGCTCCAGCAAAGCTCCAGTGTGTTATTGATGCCTCTTGCCAGGCAGCAATGCCTCCTGAGTTACGCCCTCTTAATTAATTCGGTACTAAAGCGTTTTCCGGTGTTTCCATCTGGCAGCTGTTATCAGCGAATATACCTTATTCTGTCCCACCAGGCACACAGTAGTGTACTGAGGGCCATTCTAAAAACTCATGACCAGCACACGCATTGGGGTGCTCCTCTGTTCTCATCCATCTGCATGTTGGGTTTCTCAAAAAAAAAAAAAAACAAAACAAAACAGAATTTCTGCAGTCATGTTATCTGTTTACCAGATATTTTCAGTCACAATAGTGTTGAAAGCCCTTGGTTAATTTTATGCCAGTATTTATTGGCTAACTAGTACAGTGGATCTGGCAGAAGTTAGTCTTACAGATTATTAAATTCTTGTAATCTTCAGGAAAATCAGCAGCTTGGTTGAGGAGGGAGGTTTTCCAAGCTGGACAAGGAGTCAGCAGGCTGAGGCTGGCTGGTGCATAGTTTCTATCTCCTACAGGTGGTGCTTGTTTCACATTTAGTAAAAGTAACTCTAGATACTGAAGAGTTTATAGCCTGCACTCTCTGGCGTTAGTGCAGATGCAGAGCTGAAGTCACCTACCAGTGGATCCTGGGTGCCAGCTTCGTGGGGCCTGCCCTCGTTGCACAAGGTCTTGAAATACTGAGGTCTGAACGGCAGGCCTTGAACTGAAGCTGACCTCCAGATGAATCTCACAACCCAGAATCAGTATCCAGTCATTAGCAAAATATATATGATCATTAAAAAAAAAGTGCATCATGGATGAAACATCTCATTAGCAAGAGTTGTAGCTGGGATAAAGCACTATGAGAATGTATTAACCTTTCCTTGTTTTGAAGCATGGTGTCAAGGCCTATGAATACACAAACTTCTTTAGTTCCTCCTTGAGTCCTGGCTTGAGGTAGAATCCAATGGCAGAATGAAAGCAGATGTTTCTGCCTCATTGTCACATAAACTTGTTTATTCAACAGTATAAAAGCTGGATGCACTTGTAGAGGAGACCTTACCTGGGAGTGGATGCACTGCACAGGACCTCCCCGTTGCATGATGATAAAGCAGTGGGGCAACTGGTATACCTTGTAACTGTATCTTTCTTAATCACTATTGCTATCCTCACATAGTGATGGTTAGGTGCATTGCCTTGTTCTGTGTTATAATTGCTGTATCGCTTCACTTATTATCTCACTGTTTTAAGCTTAAGTAAAGATAAATGCACTTCTTGAGCTTGGGGCCTGTGAACTCTGTGCTGGCCTGATGACTAGAAAACAGCTCTGTAGGCAGATTGCTGATCTCCTCCACAAAATGTATTTGCATGGGGAACAAGGAGGATTCCTGTGGAAAAATCCTGTGGAAAATTTGTTCTGTTCTTAAAGTGTGATGTGAACATGGCAGTGGCCTCCCTGAAAGCTGTCACCTCCTGAGGAGAGCTCTTAATGATGCTCAAGAGGCTCCTCTTAAATTCTCTTCCTTAGTTTCACTAAAAGATGTGAGATTTTTCTGTTCTAGTGAAATCTATTCTGTTAACGAGTGCAGGACTAGGAAAGAATAGTGCTTTGACATGAAGTGGAGGGGAAGTCTTAACAACAGGTATCAGCAGATCTCCTTGTCTGTCAGAAGAACTTCGTTTTTTGCTAGTGGAGCCTGTAATGTATTTCTTGTGATGCTTTTCTTGAACAAACACTGAGTGTTTCAAGGGTGATTTGCTGCAAGTAGCAAACAGATTGATCAGGTAGAGGTACTGCTGCTCTGGCTGGGTTTGAGAGGAAGGATTTTTTGTGTCTTCCCCAAGACTGGAAGTTGAGGTAATAAGCTCCTGGTTTTGTACTTTGATTGTTATAGGCTGAGCAAGCTGGGATGTTTTTGTGGGAGTTCCTAGGTGAACATTTTGATGAGTGAGAATTACATGTTGACTCTAAGGATGAAGAGCTGCATTAATCCTGCCAAGGAACTAAGCCTGTGGTTCCAGAGAGTCTAGATAACTCAAAGCTGATGCTTACCGCAATGCATGGTATTCCTTCCAGACATGGGGCTGTAGTGAGAAATACCCTGTGAACCCTGGGTTGTATTACAGTGTAGCTGCACGTAGGCACTGGCTGTGGTTACGGTTCTGTTTATTTATGGGTTTTTTCCTGGCACTGAACACAAGGGTGGCTGACTGTAGGAAACTGGATGAACCCAACCGGGTTCTTAGACTTGTCTGCAATCAGGCAGTGAATTGTAGCTGAGTCAACACAGAAGTAGCCCTTGTTTCTTCTGCTGGTCATGTAACCACAAGAAAATCCTCCCTCTTCATGCAGGCCCTATTCTGTCTCTTTTGCTTCTTGGCTGGTAAATGAATAAAACTGTATTGAAATATGTAAGTTGTAGAGAGAAAATTGGGATGACATCTGGTAAGCAAGAAGGATGTCTGTCACTCATAACAGAGTTCTAGGACATCTTTACTCCAGAATGATAATCTTGTTGAGGACTGCTGAAAGGACAGTTTGCTTCTCATGCTGCTCTTCTGCTTAACAAAGAGTGTTGGCTCTGGGACTCAATTCTGAAGGGCAGATTTTGTCCTGCAAAGTGCTTCTTTGTTTTCTACTGTCATCCAGCACCTTTAAATCAGCAGCACCTTTACATCAGCAGTTCCTTACAATGTGTATATATATGAATACATATACACACTGAATGTCCCATTGCAGAGCTGGACATGCATTACCAATTTATACATGAAATCTGTTTCACTTTGTGTCTTTACAAAAGTGTCCTAGATTCCTACCAGAAGCTCCTTGGTTGTGATGCATGAGAGAGACTGTCTCTCAGTCTGTGGCAAAGCTTCTGTCATGTGCATGAGCTAGATCCATTTTTGAATATATCCAAAAATATCTATTAATCTAAACATTTTAAAATGGAGGAGGTTGTATCACACTTTATTTTTCCTGTCTTTTTTTTTTTTTTTTTTTTTTTCCTCTTGTCACTCAGCTCTTTATAATCTCAATGAGAACACTGTAATTCCTCTGGTAATGGTGCAGTGTTGAAACACATTTTGTTCACATCAATGTTCTGTCAAAGTCACTCATAAGCCTTGTGCTTACCAGATATGAAAGGCACTTCCTTATTGGCTCTGGAAAGTTTTTGCCACATCAGAAAGAGCAACTAAAAGTCTTTGGTGGGAATAGCAATTTATGCTCAGGTTCCTTTCACCTATGTGTCTGTGCACATACTGCATTCAGTAGCATGGATGAA